GGCTGGTGGAGGAGGGGGCGTGGGGCTGGAGGAGATGGCTCTGCTTGCCAGTCATTGGAGCCTTGAGCTGCAATTAGAGAATCTGCATCAGCAGTCTACTGAATTCCTGGTTTTAGCGAGGGCTTTAGTTCTTTAGAAATGAGGCCTTTGGTCTTCCTCTCTGGGCTTGGACCTAGATGACAACATACGGCCAAAGGCACCGAGAAGGTTGGATCGTCGGTAGATACGGGACCTGCTCTGGTGCCTCCCTCTGGAACACAGTGAAGAAAATTGAAATCAGCCAGCACGCCAAGTACACTTACTCCTTGGCAAAACCAAGATGGAGAGATGTGCTCTGGGGATCTGGCGCTGTGGTTTCTGCATGAAAACGGAAGCTGGGGTGCCTGGACCTACACCACCACTTCTGCTGTCACAGCACCGCCCGTCATCAGAAGACTGAGGCATTGAAAGACCAGGAGAAGCTCCACAGACTTTTGGCTTACCACTAGCCTACAATAAACGGGTTAATTTATGTAACAAAACCAAACCAAAAACTGGGGCCTTTGGGGCCAGCTGATGGCATAGTGGTTAAGGCAGCTGGATCTCACATGGCTGGCTGCATGGTTTCAAGTCCCAGAACTGGTGACTTAAAAAACGTGCATGCCGGGTGTACGTGTGCATGCCTGAAATCCCTAGAGGAGAATGGAGAGAAGTGTGGTGTGGGTGTTCCCGAGGGCGTTCTTGATTAGTGAGGGGCAGTCTTGTGTGGGGGTGGGGCCTCGACTCTCTCCTGCCTTTCCTTTGGGAATCCCAGGGTCTCGGGCAGGTGGCGGCAGGCACGGGAAGCTGCCAGGCAGCCCAGCAGATGGGGCGTGGAGAGGACTGCCCATCACCTAGCCTCACCTCACAGAGGGAGTCCGTTCTCAGCTTGCTCCAGAGGAGCTCACGCAGACCAGGTGGCTGCCCGTGAGCCTCCAGTGGCAACGCCAAGTGTGACGGTGTGACCTCACGCTTTCTCTCTTCCTCCCGCTCTCCCCGGGGAGTGCACACATCCTATAGCAAACTAAGTAAGCGGGGCGGAGGGGGCTGCTCAGTAATTGTCACTGCTGGAGAGTCTTCCAGTTCATTTCCAGGCCATGGTGTCCTTATAAGACTGAAGCATCTCCAGCCCAGGACTGACAGCCCATGCCTCATGTGTAGAAAGCCGCGCGTGTCTGGCTCCCCAGAAGCCTTTATTCCTCTTTGGAGATGTAAATAGCGTGTGTAAAAGTACATCATGGTGGCAGGGCAGGAGGGATGCATTTTCTTTTTTTCTTTTTTTTTCTTTTTTTTGAGAGGTTTAGCACATGTGTGCTTGCTGGAGAGAGAGGGAATCAGAAAAAGGAAAAGTGAGAAATCACTCCCCAAGGGGAATGGCCAATCCTGTCTCCTCCTGGGATTTTGGGCATGCACGTAAACACGGCTGGTGCAAACTTTAAGCCACTGGATCTGGGACTCAAACCACTCGGCCTTGTGGGAGTCCAGCAATGTAATTGCTAAACCATCTGCTGGTCCTGGGTTGCATTTTCTAATGAAGAGGATAAGAAGACCGAAGGTTGGCGGCATGGAGGCTCCTCTGGAGCAAACTGAACGGACTCCCTCTGTGAGGCCAGGCTAGGTGATGGGCGGTCCTCTCCACGCCGCATCTGCTGGGCTGTCTGGCTGCCCCCTGCTCCTGCTGCCACCTGCTCCCAGAGACGGGATTCCCAAAGGAAAGGCAGGAGAGTCGAGACCCAGCCCCACTCGCTCAGGACTGCCCCTCACTAATCAGGAACCTCAAGGCTTTGAGGAAAAGAAAAGCAGGTGCTTCTCAGAAAAAGGCTTTCATGGGACCAGCAGTTGGTGTAATGGCTATGTTGCTGGACTCCAATGTAGTCAACTGCGGTTCGAGTCCCAGACCCAGTGACTCAAACTCACACCGGGCAACCCGGTGGCTTAAACTCACGCTGGGCGCATGTGCGTGCGTGTCCAAGATAAGAGGAGAAAGGAGGAGACGAGATTGTGGCGTGGCCATCCCCCCCGGGGGGTGATTTCTTGCTTTCTGTCTCTTTGTCTCTGTCTTTCTGGTGAGTGCACGTGCCCTATAGCAAAAACCTCTCCAAAAAAAAAGAAGGCTTTCATTGCGCTCAGGGTACACCGCACCCCACCCTGCCTTCACGCTGCTCTAAGTGAAGGGCCCACGTGGAATCCTCGGGGAGGCTAGAGCTCACCCTGTGAACCTCTGATTTAACAAATGCGGAAAGCCAGGGCACTGCTGGAGATGGAGCAGACGAGGCCAGGCCAAGGTGGCGACCTTGTCCTTTGCAAAGAATGCCATGGACAAACCGTTCCTACTGTCCTGAACACACACCAGGCCGGGGCCCCACACGAGTGTGCAAACCACGTCGCCCCTACCATTCTGCTTCTCTTGGCTCTCCCTGAAATCTGCCTGAATTCCCTGAGGGTTCATCTGCAAATGGAAAGATGAGAAACTTATTAGCAGGGGAACATGGACATCAGAATTCTCTCTAGAATATCATTAGGACTGGCGGAAGACTGCCAAGCGAATAATTTGACTCCTGCTCGGATGAATCACAGTGAGATCGTATCAAAGTCACCAGAGAACAGAGAAGCTGAAGGACTCATGGAGCTCTGTGAGAAATGTAAATGTTCCTTCTAGAAGTTAATTAATACTTTCTTCTCTCTGCCTAACAAGTCTTTACCAAGTAGAAAATTGAAGATGCTATCTAGCATAAGTCTGAGTCGTTTCGACGGTCTGCGTAATTAGGATTCACTGTGGGAACCAGAGCAGTGACCCCGCAGTTCTTTCCACACAGCCACGTCGTGCGTCCAGCATCTGAAAGCACGGGACCTGCCTCGCAGCTTCCGCAGAGCACACCTGGCCTGCGTCAGGGTGACCGCGGGAGACGTCGGTCACAGCTCCAATTCACGTGTTTTTAGATCCTCTAGACATAGATAAAGTTATTTTATAAGATTTAAACGTTCATGATTTCAGGTGGTTTTTCTTTCATAGATTGTAGTTTTATAAATGTCATTACATGTCATTGAAGCTGTGAATGTCTGATGTTGGGTCATCAGGAAAGTCTGGATCTTTTTTTTTTTCATTTTTCTATGCAAAAATGCATCATGACTCTCATCGACCCAATATTTTAGGACAAGGGGTAATTTCTTTGTTTTTGGATTTTTGCCATAAAGTGAATGCACTCGCCAAAGAGAAACAGAGAGAGGGGAAGTGACAAGTCACCCCCCAGGGCAGTGGCAGCACTGCAATCCAGTTTCACCCCCCAGGGCAATGGCTGCACTGCAATCCAGTCTTTTTTCTCTCAGAATGTTGGGCACACATGCACACGGGCCCAGCTTGATTTTCAAGCTACCAGCTCTGGGACTTAAACCACAGATGGCTGGGTGGGAATCCAGCACCTTAACTACCATGCTACCTGCTGGCCCCAGGGCAGAGGGTAATTTTTAAGTTGCGTTTGTTTTTATGGGCTCCATTGAATTCACTTGTGTAGACGCTGGCACCCGAAGCCTTCCTTTAATATTACAGCCCTAACAGCCAGCTTGAGAGAGTGTTCTTGTTCGCTGAGTAGCCTACTTTGAGATAACCTGTCTTGAGAAGTGGGTTCTTGTTATTTGTGACAGGAGAGACTCCGCTAAAGGTACAGAATGACTTTCTCTGTTGGAGCGAGCTTCAGTTCAGACGGGAAGGCCGTCACGTCTGTTCCCGAGTCACTGACAGGAGATAGATATTGGGACGTGAGCTCACAAAGAGCTGTTTTTTCTTTCTTTCTTTTTTTTAAAATAAAAGCTAAAAATGTAGATTTAATTTTCACTTGATTGTTCAGTAAATCTGAATGATGGTTTTAGATTAGACCCAAAGATGGGCCTGCTCTGTGATGGAGAGGTAACGTGCTGCTCCTGGATCCCACACGGTGACTGGTTCGAATCCCTGGCCTGGTCAGCCTGAAAGAGCAGGCATGCACACACAGGTGTCCGGGATCCAGTGGGGATTATGGTGTGATCAGACTCTGGAGGGTGTTCTCTCTCTCGCTCTCACTGTGCACCCACCCTCTTTCAGAGAAGAAGAGAAGAAACTTATACCTAAAAGCAATGTAATAACTCTTTGGAGGGAAAGCAGAGGAATGTTTTCAGCTCAGGCCCTTAACAAGATGCACAGCGTGACCGAGGGGGACTTGGGGAAAGTGGCCTCTCTGTCTTGTTTCCTGAGAGTGGCATCCCTTAGTACTTTTTTTTTTTTTTTTTTTGAGAAACTTTTGCTATGGAGCACGTGCACTTGCCGGAGAAACAGAAAGTGAGAAATCGGGAACCAGCAGTTAGCGTAATGGCTATGTTGCTGGACTCCCACGTAGTCGACCACGGTTTGCATCCTGGACCCGGTGGCTTAGAACTCACGCCAGGCGCGTGTGCGTGTGTGCCCAAGATCCCGAGAGGAGAAGGGATTGCGGCGTGACCATCCCCCCTGGGGGGTGATTTCTCACTTTCTGTCTCTCTGTCTCTCTCTGTCTGTCTGGCAAGCGCACGCGCCCTATAGCAAAAACCTCTCCAAAAAAAAAGAAAGTGAGAAATCACCCCTGTCCCCCGCAGCCTCTTCTCTGTTCTCCTATCGGGACTTTGGGCAAGCAGGCACACGTGCCCAACAGGAGTTTCAAGCTACCAAGTCCGGAATTCGAACCGCGATCAACCACGTGGGAGCCCAGTGCCTTAACCACTATACCACCCACTGGCCCACGCACCCCTTAGGTCTTAAAGCCACGTGTGCATCCTGCAGCTCGTGGGCATCAAGGAGACTTTCTTTCCCTCTGCAATTGCACTGTGAGCCACGTGCAGTGCGCTGAGAACGGGTCTGGCCTGAGTCTGGGCCCACAGACAAACCAAAGCTGCACCTTCCAGCCAAGAACCTTCCCCAACTTCAGCCCAAAGGGCCTTCTGCAAACGCCTTGCTGGTCGCTTCTCTCCTGTGCAGACCTCCCAGGCTCCTGGTTGGGGTATTAGAAATCTGATGTGGTAGTTGAATAAGGATCCCCAAAGATTTCCATGTCCAAATTGCCAGAATTTGTGGCTCTGTTACCTGGGGCCTTGAAGTTCAAGATCTCAAGGTGGGGCGCCATCCTGATCGGCTGGTGCACGCAGTGTCGGAGGGGGACTAGGTGGGAGAGAGGAGGTATGACTAGGGAGCAGAGGGTGGAACGGCGCGCTCTGAGGAGGAAGGGGCCACGTGCCAAGCGTGGGGACAGCTATAGAAGCTGAAAAGGCAAGGAATGGATTCTCCCTGGAGCCCGCAGGAGTACAGGCCCTCGATTTTAGCCCAGTGAAATGAATTTCACACTTCTGACTCCAGAACCATGAGACAGAAACTTAGTGTATTGGGACCAGCGGATGGCGTAATGGTGACATTGCTGGACTCTCACATAGTTGACCACAGTTCAAGTCCTGGACCTGGTGGCTTGCTCTGTCACTTTCCCTCAAGATACATGCACTGTAACAAATTAAAACATAATAATAATGATAAAGACAATTAAATAATTCTTAAAAAAAAAAAAAGAGTGAGTGCATTAAGCCACGCAGTTGGGGCGATTTGTCGCAGCAGCCACAGGCAGCTAACACAGACGGTTGCCTGGATTTTGATGGGAGGCTGCGCTCGTGTGAGCAGAAGGGTGAGGGGGCGTGCACTGAGCACGTAGATGCCTAATTCGCTCCTCACAGACCTGCAAACGTGAGCGCCTCTCTCTCCTCTCAGAAGATGACACGAGCCCCTTGTCCAAGCTCACTGCCTAGGGAACAGCAGGGCTGGAATTCAAACCAAGGTCTGCGCGTCTCAGTTTGCACTGCAGGGGTCCAGCCGTGCAGCCCGTCCCAGGCACAGCACTGACCTCCGCTCACCTCCGGTTGCAGGTGCTCTCCCTGCAGCCCTGAGAGGCAGAACTGCTCTGCCGCTGAATTTGACCTTCAGCTCCCATTGACGAAGCCACGGGGGCTGGGACTTCACCACGTTCTCCCTGGACACCCTCTGTCGGGTACATGCGGAAGTGGAGTTCTGCTTCTGAGGTCCGCGGGCCTGGAGTGAGCCTGGTGGGCACAGAGAAACAGACCGTCACTGTGAAGGACGCCCAGGAAGGTGTCTGCGAGGCATGGACATGTGGCCAGGCCAGACTCACAGGACCTGGCGAGATCGCGGACAGCAGGAGTAAACAGCTTTCCTGAGCGCCCAGGACCTGCTGGGCTCTCCTCGCGCTTCCTGTGTGACCTCGCCGCAGCCGTGGGCCGTGTGTCTATTTCTGCACACGCTCAGGGCCACCTGTTGTCCCGAGTTCCGGAGCCTCACTTCCTGGCAGTGCCTCTGCCCGGCCCTGGCCTCCTCCCTCCCGCTGTCACTTGACCTTCTGTCCCCTTCTGGCTGTTGGCAACATGGCAAATAAGGCGCACGTTTCTAGAATCCTGCTCATTCAAAAATGTTAACTAGTAAAGTGTTACTCTTCTAAAATAATGTATGCATGTAACTAGACAAACGGTACTGAAAGAACCAAGGAAGAAAGGTACCTTTTTACCTTTCACCTTGTATTTTTAGTTTTTGGGGGAGAGATTTCCTTGACTTCCATTTTGTTCCCCACGAGCACTTGCTGTGGCCTTTGCCAGGTTCAGGTGGTGCAGGGGTTGGGGAGGGAGGAGTGGGTGATGCCGGAATTGTTCACCTGCCAGCTGGCGAGAGGGGTAAACAACTAACCGTGGATTAAGCACTGATCGGGGTAAGGGAGAAGAAGAAACAGTCGGGGTGAGGGGACACCATTCTCTGGGTGCCCGAGGAAGACTAAGATAAGACTGAACAGAGATCTTCCTACCTATTTATTTATTATTTTTTTTGCCATAGAGCATGTGTGCTTGCTGGAGAGACAGCGAGGGAGAGAGGAAGTGAGAAATCCCCCCAACCCCGGGGGAGGATGACTGTGCTACAGTCCCCTCTCCATTCTCCTCTCAGGATTTTGGGCACAAATGCACACACACCGTGTGTTTTCCAAGCTCCCCAGGTCCAGGACTTGAACCACAGAGTCGGTCACGTGGGATCCAGCACCTTAACCTCCACACCACCTGTTGCCCTGCTGTCCCTACTTCCAACCTCACCTGCAGCCCAGGCCACCCCGCCTTTGCAGCACCCGACGCCGTCAGAGCCAGGCACGCAGGCTCCCTGCACCTCCCTTCCCCGCGTTGCATGCTCGAGCGTGGGTAAGCTTCTCCCGTCCTCTCTGTCCCCCTCTCCTCGGCCTTGTGGGTTTATAGCGCGTATCAGGTTTCGTGTTTATCATTTACATCGCGTTTATATTGTTTTCATCCCTTTACTTCCATTTTAACTGGTGGTCAGTCACCACGTCGGGCTGCATTTCTCTTTTTAAACCAGTTCTCCCTAAAATTTGTCCAAATCACAAACATAATTCACGCTCATTTAGAGGACACAGAGGAGTAGAAAGAAGGAAGAAACCGGCCGCTGAGCCGCTCGCGTAAGTACTTTCCAGAAGGCACAATTCTTCCTGTTACTCTTGAACGATGCTACAATCAGGCTGCAAAGGCCATTTTATGTTCTTTCTCCATCTTTATTTATTTATTTTTGGAGAGAGATTTTTGCTAAAGGGTATGTGCACTCACTGGAGACCCAGAGACAGATGCAGAAAGGAAGACATCACCGCCGCCCACCCCAGAGGGGAAGGCCACGCCACAATCGCTTCTTTATTCTCCTCTCGGGATTTTGGGCACGCGTACGCACGTGTCCAGCATGAGTTTCGAGCCTCTGGGTCCAGGACGCGAACTGCGGTCAGTCATGTGGGAGTCCAGTGATGTAACCCTTACGCCACCTGCTGGTCCTTCCAGCTATAATATTACGATATGAACATTTCCCATGTTATGAATCCTCTGGAAAGGCTTTCAATGGCTGTGACAGTCACTGACCTTGTGTTGCAGAAAGGTTTGCTCAGTACCCTCCTCGTGTTTGACCTCCAACCTAAGGGAAATATGAGGCAAAGGGAGGAGAGTAGAAACAGCTTGTCTGGATCGGGGGTGACTCCTGGGCACCCCAATACCCAAGTCGCCCTGGACATGTGTGCAAAGTCTTTCAGAATACAGGATGGTTTTCCAAGCAAAGTCTGCAAGCGGGGAAGTGGGTCAGTGGTTTGGGGGTGAGCGACTGGGCGAACTCTGTCACCCCTCATGTGGATCGTTGTGGCATGGGCTGATGTCGGTTGGCCAGGCAGTGCCCGGGCACAGGTGGTCCTTACAATAGTTCTTGTGCCCAGACATACGTGTGAGACACAGCCCCTCAGCTCTCTTTTTTGTTTTTTTGCTATAGGGTGTGCACTAGCTGGAGAGAGGGAGAGAGAGAAAGTGAGAAATTACCCCTCCCCCGGGGGAGAAAGTGAGAAATTACCCCTCCCCCAGGGGGATGACTGCAACCCTTTCTCCTCCATTCTCCTCTCAGGATCTTGGGCATGCGCGCATGTGTGCCTGGCGTGTTTTTCAAGTTGTCGGGTCTGGGACTTGAACCGTGCTGTCAGCCATGTGGGATCCAGCTACCTTAAGTACTATGCCACTGGCTACCATTCCCCAAGATCTCTTAAGTCAGGGTTTAACACGGTTGACATGAACGACTCCATTTTGACTCTGACGATGTTCACAAATCCCTACGCTGTTTTCCCTGCTTTTAATACTATGCTAGCGATCCTTGTGCATAAAAGCTTATGTTATTTGACTTCATTTAAAAATTATTACATGGAAAAAATTTTTCCACAGGTAACATAGAGGGTCAAAGGTGGTCCCCAAAGCTGTGTCCATGTTCTAACTTCCAGAACCTGTGAACGTGAGCTTATTTGGAAGACTCTTCAGGATGGCACGAGCGGTCTTGAGGTGGGGACAGTGCCCTGGGTAGTCTAGGTGGGCCCCAAATCCAAGTGACAAAGTGTCCTATAAACCAGAGAAGGAGGAGCACAGGCACACGGAGGCAAAGGCGATGTGGGGCAGAGGCTGGGGAGGCATGGGTACAAGCCGAGGATGCAGGCAACTACCGAGGCAGGGGGAGGCACAGGACAGAGGCCCCATCACGCTGTGTTTCCATTTCTGGCCTCCAGAACTCTCAGGGCATGAAGTTTAAGCCACCGAGTTTGTTCTCTGTTCCAGCATTCCTAGGAAGCTAGCAGAGGTCAGTTCCCAGAAACGGTGTTGTCGGGACCAGCAGAGCACGTGGCTATGTCGCTGGACTCCCATGTAGTCAACCACAGTTCAAGTCCCGGACCTGGTGGCTTAAACTCACGCCAGGCATGTGTGCGTGCGTGCTCAAGATCCCAAGAGGAAAACGGAGGAGAAGGGATTGTAGCATGGTCATTCCCCCAGGGGGTGATTTCTTGCTTTTTCTCTCTGTCTCCAGCAAGTGCATATGCCTTATAGCAAAAATCTCTCTCTCTAACATGGAAAAAATTTTTCCACAGGTAACATAGAGGGTCAAAGGTGGTCCCCAAAGCTGTGTCCATGTTCTAACTTCCAGAACCTGTGAACGTGAGCTTATTTGGAAGACTCTTCAGGATGGCACGAGCGGTCTTGAGGTGGGGACAGTGCCCTGGGTAGTCTAGGTGGGCCCCAAATCCAAGTGACAAAGTGTCCTATAAACCAGAGAAGGAGGAGCACAGGCACACGGAGGCAAAGGCGATGTGGGGCAGAGGCTGGGGAGGCATGGGTACAAGCCGAGGATGCAGGCAACTACCGAGGCAGGGGGAGGCACAGGACAGAGGCCCCATCACGCTGTGTTTCCATTTCTGGCCTCCAGAACTCTCAGGGCATGAAGTTTAAGCCACCGAGTTTGTTCTCTGTTCCAGCATTCCTAGGAAGCTAGCAGAGGTCAGTTCCCAGAAACGGTGTTGTCGGGACCAGCAGAGCACGTGGCTATGTCGCTGGACTCCCATGTAGTCAACCACAGTTCAAGTCCCGGACCTGGTGGCTTAAACTCACGCCAGGCATGTGTGCGTGCGTGCTCAAGATCCCAAGAGGAAAACGGAGGAGAAGGGATTGTAGCATGGTCATTCCCCCAGGGGGTGATTTCTTGCTTTTTCTCTCTGTCTCCAGCAAGTGCATATGCCTTATAGCAAAAATCTCTCTCTCTAAAAAAAAAAAATAGAGAGATGGTGTTGTCAGTCAGAGATAACGAACACTCACAGGTTGTCAGGAAGTCCAGGAAGCAGTCTACACCACCACGACTCTCCGAACTCACTTGCTTTTGTTTTGCTAGATTGCTCGCATGTCCTCTCATTGAAGCCACTATTGTGGAGAGCCTTTGGCGACTGGAAGCTCCCGCAGGCAGGTGGCTGGGCTCTCTCCCCAGATGGACCCTCGTGTTTACCCACAGGGTGTGTACGCGGGTGACAGGGGTACAGCCCGCAGGAAGACATGCCCCCGGGCTAGCAGGGGGCCTGGCTGAGCACACAGAGGGCACAGCAGGAGGGTAGAGTGCTGGGGCACCAGGGAGGCACGCCAGTCTCCCGGCCGAGGCTGTGGAGAGGTGATGGTTGCACTGAGTCCTGGCCGGGGCCCTGGGGGCCACCCAGCAGCGCCACGCAGTGTTCCTAGTGGGTCGTCATCGCCTCCCCCTGTGTCCCCATGTGGCCAGGCCCTGATGATGGGGAGATGATGCAGGTGACAGAGGTGGCCCCACGTGAGTGGCAGTGTGCCCACGGGAGCACGTGTCGTGCGCGAGGGATTGCACCATTAGAACCCGTGCCTTGACGCGGAGCCAGCCCCGAGTGGGTGGCCGGTCTGAGCACGCCACAGTGACGTGCGTGTTCAGGAGGTGCTTCCTACCGGCTGCAGGCTCTGCTGAGTCTCAGAGTCGGGACCCGGGGCACGCCAGCCTTGGAACCCCCTCCATG